GTTCTTTTAAAAACATTATTCAAGTCCCTCACTTTAAAACAATTTTTTTCAAACTTACTGATTGACAGTGTGAAAATGTAAAGTTTAACTGCCTTTCCAAGAAGACTAAAAACTTTTTAATGAGGATGATTCTCATTAAGGTAGACTATACACCGTCAATAATTTAAAACATGAGGTTCATAAAAGTCTACGAAACCCCAGAAATTATACCAAAAAAGTATGGGTGTATCAGAATTTTTCTGAAAACAGCCATGACAAAATAAATAGGTAAGAATCACAGAAATAAAACCACTTCCTCGTTGTCTGTATCCATGATTCTCAGCCCTGACCGGACATAAGAATGCCTTGGGAAGTTTTAAAAATTATACCTGTACTACCTAAGACCAGCTGTATAAGAATCCCAGGGTTGGCCAGTTGCTCAGTTGGTTAGTGTGTGGTGTTGTAACACAAAGGTCAAGGGTTTGGATACCGGTACTGTGTATTTGCACATGCGCAAAAAGGGTAAAATGTAGCTGCTTCAGACAAAATCACTGGGTTTAAGGGCCTTCTAGTCACTCAGTCAGATCAATTCTCAACTGGAAGGTCTGCCTCTATTTTCATTTTTTAAGAATTTCAAAGTTCAAAAATTATTGGTTTTTCAGAATAAATGTTGAAACATAAATAACTATAAAAATCTAAAGAAATCTTTAAGGACAAATAAAATAACCATTTTGATGATGCATTAAAGAGACTCAAACCACACAATCTTAAAATGGCACTCAAAGCCCTTTACAATGTAGATCCAAACTACTTTTCTAGCCTTATTCTTCTGGCCTTTTAATGGCTAGCTATCGTAGTCTACATGGTATTTCTCACTCAAATGTACATTTTCAGGTCAATGTTCATACTGTTTGATGGCTGACTTGACTCCTTTACCCAGCTCCTTTGCATGATTGATGTGCACAGTTCAAATGTTTGGGTTTGTTTGTTTTCTGTGAAACATTACCTAATCAAGGAATCTACTTTAATTCTAAAAGCAGAGACTCAACCGTTATATATACATTAATAACATAAAAATACTAGTGACTGGAATATGGGCATTCCAAGATGAAAACTATGCTCCATATACTGTGTAATTTAAAAAGTGTACTATATACATGTAATAGTGTGTTCTGTGTATTTCCATATACTACATAATTTTAAATGTGGCAAACCAAATACACTTAAAATTTCCTTATGATAATTAAGACTAATGTTATCAGAATGTCAATGTGGTAAATAACTTTTTAGCATATCCTCCCATTCCCTGGTAACTAATTCCTATATCAGTTCTAAATCTCATTCAAAGCCATCCATAACCTTGCCATATACACGCATCTTTCAATTTTATTTTTCATGACTCTCCAACAAACACTAATGTTCTGAAGTCACAAGAAATCATAACCATTATTTCAACCATCTTGCCTTTCAGAACTACATCACTCCCCCACCAATGTACAGTATAAATCTTAACACTTTAACTCCTAAAGCAATTTCTATTGAGTCACTATATACTTCCTATTATATTATACTCTGTATTAGCTGGTATGCCCAAAGGAGGCTATTTTTAAGGTAAGCATTTTTATACTTTTCTGTGATGCCCTACAATGCCAAGCTAACTATTTAATAGAAAAATGATGGAAAGAACATGGGTATGCTAATAAGTCCCATTTCACCATTAGGCAAGCCAAATTGTCCCTACTTTTTTATTTGGCATACAGATTAAAACAAAACCAAAACTGAATTGTCTCAAGAAAGTGAAAACCAGTACTCCAGAAAATAATGTTCATGTCCTCAAATGTCCTGACAATATATGAAGTGACTCTCTGAAATCAAAAGAAATGTCACCACACTTAGTTTACTTGATGATTTGCGGGGAGATATTTTTTGGGTTGTTTTGGTGAAAAGGGAGAACTTTGAAAACATGTTTGCTGTTCATTACTTCAAGAGAAATTTCATTACTACAAAAAAGAAAGACAAAATGGTTCTTACTAAATAGTTTTTTACCAGAACAGACAAAATAAAACACCTTCAACATACCTGTCATAATAATCCCGTTGAAAGTCATAGTCCAACTCAAAAGAGGAGCTGAAAAATAAATACCGAAGAGGATTAATTTGGAGCTGTTGACGTTAGTTCACAATAGCAGATGGGAAAAAAAACCAAAAACAAAAACAAACAAAAAAAACCAACCATGCCAAACAAATCACAGACAGATCAACAAGATTAGCACGGAATAATCCCCAATCATTCAAACAATAGATCACTAAATTCCAATCACCTCAGACCACTGGACAGGCAGTGGCCAAATTGGTAATTCAGGTCAAAGTTCACTAAAATTTCAACACACAACTTACAAGCTAAAATAAGAACAATGAAAAATACAATAATAAACTAAACATTCTTATACCACTCTCCTTCCCTTCCTTACTCCCCAGCTTCTTAGAAGCTAAATAACTTCTCTTGAAGATACTTTTTTTAAAAAAAAAAAAAAAAAGATGACCAGTAAGGGGATCTTAACCCTTGACTTGGTGTTGTCAGCACCACACTCTCCCAAGTGAGCCATGGATCAGCCCTTGAAGATTTCTTTTATGCTATAAACATCAAACTACTTTTTAATAGCAAAAATCTCAGGATTTCTAATAATTCTCTAGTAAACAGGCAAAAAGGAGGCATATTAACACAAATTAATAAAGCATTATTACTTTTACACAGATAAAACACACCACATTTAGCCCTCCCCACATCCAGAAAACAGAGAAGATGCCCACTGATGGACACAATGCAGTTATAAATAATAAAGTTCCGGACCTGAGTAGAGGGGACGGAGAAGGGTGTTCTGGTACTGACCCGTACATCTCCGCTGCAGATCGTTTCACACCTGCTTTTCCTCGGTTCACTTTTGGCTCTGCAGCCAGATTAATATCTGAAAATACAAAAACAAAAATTTTAATGATAATTCCGTATGGAGATTAAAAAAAATCTCAAATTACAAGTATACAGTCATATAAATCAACCAATGTCTGACAGTGTATCTCATCTTTCCTGTAAAAAAAAAAAAAAGGCACACAAATTTTTACAAAACTAGGACTGTCTTCCACTTCAAATCAACTTTCACCTTTCAGAGCTCAGTCAGTTACTATCACAGGGGACAAGTATACATGACTAATGTATCACAGGAAAAAATGTTATCAATGAGGAATAATGGTCACCTTTCTAGGGCTGGTTCTGTGCATTTTAAATAGCACAGACAAATAAATTAAAGAGAAAAACTTCAGAGATATAAAGTACATGGGCAATTCATATAATGTGATTGAAATGAGGTAGTGTGGCATCCTCAAATCATCCCCAAAGGCGAAGTTTTATTTCCCTTACAGATAATTTCAGCTGGACAGCTGCATAAAATATCCTGGTTAAGAAATGCTATGTGAACAAATAATTGCTTAAGTAAACAACCATTACACAGTCACCAAAAAAAAAGAAAAAGGAACCAAGGGGAAAACTCAAGTTTTGAAATACAACATAATTTTAAAAACATCTACTTTAGAGTGCCCAGCTACTTTCCTTGCCACCCGCTGCCTATTGAACAAAGGAGTTCATGTTCTTCTCCCTCTTGTTCTAACAGAAAAAGCCCATTTGTCAAAAACCAATAGCCAAAAGCTAGCCCTCTAAAACTCAAGTTTTTCACCTTCTCGTCATGCTAACCATTCCTTGCCAGTAATAATTCTGTCATCTTACACACTGCTTTTATTAAAAAGAGTCTCATCTCACTCACTCCCACCGAAATATACAAAATTCCAATCCTGCCCTAAACCATTCTTTAGGTAAATGAATGTAGACAACTTACACTTACCCTTTAAGTACAATTAACCTTACAAAGGCAGTTCATCAAATAGCCAACTGAAAAGCAGATTAAGTATACTGTCTGTCTGCTGAACACCATTACACGAATAACATTCAAAGTTTTGGGTTCACTAAACTTATTTATAATTTCTAACGTAATCAAAAGTTTATAACTTTACTTTTACAGTTTTGACTCTGGAACCATATAAACCTTTATAAAACTAGACAAAATTAAATTTTTGAAAAAGCAATCCATAAGATATAAAAACAAAAGGAAACAACAGAACCAAACCATATATCAAGCTGATTATATAACATTAACAAAGAATTATTTCAGGTAACTCTAATCTACTGTTCTTTGAGTCAACAACCCCAGTGAAATATACTGAGAATAAGAAGAACCCCAAATCTAAAACTGAATTTAGCAACCTTAATTTTGGTAAAAACACAGGTATGGTTATTTTGAAACTGCAGAACAAACACATAAAATGAGAAGTTAAATAAAACATCTAAGACACCTACGAGACAACTAACCAAATACATGTGTGGGGCATGAACTGAGTTCTAGTTTAAATAAACCAAGTTATAGAAAATTTAAGTTCGAGACAATAAAGGAAGAAATCTACATATGAGTTGAATATTAGATAATATTAAGAAATTACTGTGAATTGTAAAGTATGATACAGTGTACTTGCACTTTATGAAAAGTCCTTATCAATACATATACACATATAGTAGTGTATAAAACACACACCAAAAAAAAAAAAAGGAAGAAAGAACAGAAAAGAAATGCTGATAGATAAAACAAGACTGGTCAAATGTTGATAAAGTGGGCGATAACACAGAAGTTCATTACATTCTTCTCTTTGCTTGTTAGATAATTTCCATAACAATTAAAAAGTTTGTAATAAATCATGAGTTCATTTTAAGACCAAAACTCCTGTTTTAGTTCATTTTTGCCACAGCCATTTTACAGATGGCAAAGTTTTATATATTCTAGATTTTCCTGTACAATGGATGTAGGACAAATGAATATGAAAATCTCTTGTGTATTCTTAATTACAACTGTTCTGTACACCTTTTTTATTGAATGTGACATTTCAACTTATACCTGAGAGCTTCTCTTCACTCATCTCAATTAATCCTCTTAATTTACCTAAATTCTTTTGACAACCCTTAAGTACTATCACCTCAGGTAAGAGAGAGTAAGTACTATTATCTCCATTTTAACAAATGAGGTAATTTAAGAATCAGCCAAGCTATGCAGCCTGCCCAACACATGTAGCTGTGAAACCCCAATAAGGAGCCAGGCAGTCTGACTCCAGGGCCCACACATGACTGAGCTATATCGTCTCTCCCCAGACACTGCGAGCAGTGGGACACAGCCATTTAGGCAACATTTCTACATCATTCTTACCTCTCCTACATTACTCAAGATTGCCAACTGAGGGTTGTACAGACTCTACTATGCAAAATAGCATAACAGAGAATATTCTTTATTTACCTCATTTATATCCATAAGCCTAATGAATTTTTATTAAGCTAAAGTCACAACATCTCAGACTGTTAGCTTACGGAGAGAGAGAGAAAGAAAGAGAAAGAAACATAAACCAAAAAACGCAGGCCTGAATTACACTGATGAAAAAATTCACTCAACCCCGATCTTACCTAAAACCTGGCCAGCAATCATTCTGCCATCCTCTCCTGCTACAGCTGCCCGGGCATTTCTCTCATTAACATACTGAACGAAGGCAAAGCCCTTATGAACAGAGCAACCCACAATTTTGCCATACTTCGAGAAGATTGCCTCCACATCAGACTTCTTGACCACTAGAGTGTTGAGATTCCCAATGAATACACGGGAGTTCATGGAGCGAGGATCTGTCTTGTTGGTAACATTACTAGCCATTGTGTTTGATGATAAGGTTCTTCACACAAAGCTGGAAAACCGGAAGGGAAAAAAAGGCATGCAGGTGAGCAAATGTTAAAAATAACATTCACTGATAAAACTTTCTCTACTCTCACTGTGAACCTAGCGCATCAGTCAACTTAAAAGGATCTCACAGCAACAGTATATTACTATTCAGAGACTCACATCCCTGACTGCACGTACCCTTAAAAGAAATTCAACTTCCTTCTCTCCATTCTATTTCAACAGTACTAGACTCTCGTTTCTCAGGTGGGAGGCAAATCTTCCTTGCAGACTATGGGCAACAAAATCTTCTTGGACGTTAATTCCAAGTTACCCTCCTCTATTTTAGAGTCCTCAAGCAGATTAGAATCCCCTAAGCTCCCTAGTACCTATTTTCTATTGTTTCTCAGCTTCTCAAGTCACGTTAACCAATCCTTGTCATCAGTAACTTCATCTTCTTAAACACTGCTTTTATTAAAATGAGTCTCATTTATTCCCCCTAAAATAAACAAAACTCCAAATTCTGCCCCCAACCATTCTTTAGCTAGATGAATGTGGATAGCTTAATTTACCATTGAAGTATAAATATCTTTATACAAAGACAATAAACAGAATCCAGTCAACTCTGGAAATATTTATTTCCAGGTACTTAATCGATTTATAATATGCTATAAATACATAAGTATCAATACCATATTTTTATAGACTCCAATGACTCTAAACCTACTTTTTATGTGATAATGTACAATATAGCTACAACATTTAATAATATTGGATGGTGATGATGATAAAACTAGTCAGTAAACCACTGCACAGATCAAAAGAGGACCAGGGGAACTAATTAAGAGAATACAACTTTCCTGAGGTTATTTAAAACCAAAAATTATATTATGGTGGCTTAATCCAATTACAATTACATGGAGATTCATAATTTAAACCATCTCAGATCCTTTACAAGTGAAAATGCTTTATTTCATTCTTTTAGCTTTTAAGTCTGCTGCCCCTTCACACTCCAACCCCTAACCTTGAACAGGATTTAGAGTAACATTTGTAAGATTAATTTACTTGTCATCTCTTTGAATGGTACTGACAGAACTCAAATCAAAAGACACCACTGTCTAGTATCCATTATCCTTCCAATCCTCAAGGGATCAAAACAAACTAGTTCTCATGAATGACATATACAAATGTCTTATGTACACATTTATGTACGTAATAAAACAGGTAGTATAACACATCATCTATACATGACCCCTACTATTTGATATGTAAAACCCCTAGTTATTTAACAAGCAGCTGCTCCTCTTCCTTCCTAACCTTTCTGAAATTCAAGAAAGTCTATCAGGGATTTATCTTGGTTTCTAAATTATATCTTTACAAACAGTAGTTCTTACTTCTTTAAGACTAAGCAATGAAAATTAACAAACAGTAGCCATTGAGAATCACCACAGCCTTTCAGCTGTAAGTGTGGGTGCCAGAGAAATCTGAGAACACTAATAGAGGAATTAAAACAGTAACCTACAAAAAGGACTAACTGATTTCAGATACTACTGCTGGTTATTAAGGTTTGCTATTATAACCAGTGGAGACATAAGCCAGTTTTTCAGCAACTGTTTTTCACAAACACATAATATATCGATAGTATACAGGTAAAATCTCACTGGTTTTAATGAGAAGTTACAGGGGGAGGGAGGAAGAGGGGATGGCTCTACGTGCCACCAGCACCATAGGGAAAAAACACCAAAACAGACACTGAACTGATGTCCTCTTCCAGGGGGGTACCCTTTTAAACCACAGAACAGAAATGGATTTTAAAAACTATTTCCTCAATTTTCACAAGGTATGATACACAGCTAACAAGAACCTAGATGTACAGAATTCATACATATGAAAAATGCCTTGGAGTATTAGGCTTTCTCTCGAAGAACCTCATTTAAAAAGGCTGATGGAGAAGCATTCAGACACACTAAATATAAAGATGCTAACCCTGGTTGTCATCCTTGAGTTTAAGAATGATTTTATTTCTCATTTTATTTGATTATGGTATAGTTTCTAAATTTGCTTCAAAAATCATGAATTTCTTGTTAAAATAATAATAATATAATGACCCCAACATCGAACACTTGGCTAAAAGTTAATGGAATAACTTTCAATACCTATATACTTACTCTGAGGATTTAATCAAGATATGGACAATAAATTAGATGCACCCATAAAGATCCATTAATCCCATCCCTAGGAATATATGCTTCTAAAGAATTAACAGTCACTACAAATCATTTTTTCATCTGTTTACTGTCTGCTAAGTACCAGGTACGTCAAGGGACAAACAGTTAACAGATATGGCCCTCACAGCTTATATTCTAGTGGGATTTGCTGTTTAAAATTTTATTGAAGAGGGCAGATCTCCCAAAGTTTTAGAGATAACCAAAAGATCTTAAGTCACACTACTCTACATTGGATTAAGGTACCTTATAGTGAAATCTTCATTAAGGGGAGAATGATGGTTATATAAGGATACTTCAAAATGTTCATGGGAAAATAGATTACAACTCTTTCCACAAACTTCTGAAGTACTCTAGTATTCCAGATATATTTTTCTAACAGGCTTTTAACAACCCATGATTCAAATTACCAGCAATTGCAGTCTTTTAAAAATTTACAAATAACTTTAAATAATGTGGAAATTATGCTAAACAGGTTTAAGTCAAAAAGCAGTATTATAAAAATGTACAATACATAGGGCCGGCCCGGTGGCGCAATGGATAGTGCGCCGCTTGGGAAGCGCGGCGGCACTCCCGCCCGAGGGTTCGGATCCCACATACAGACCGGTTCCCGCTCACTGGCTGAGCGAGGCGCGGG